GTCACCTACAGGACAGCCTTGTTCACAGTCACCTACAGGACAGTCTTGTTCACTGTCATTGTCGCTTATAGCACAGTATTGTTCACAGTCACTTACAGGACAGGCTTGTTCACTGTCACTGTCACTCTGGAACAGTTTAGCTCACTGTCACCTTTAGGACTGTCTTGTTCACCATCACCTATAGAACGGTGCACAAGGTTGTGCCAGGTCTTCTTAAATCAAAAACAGCTTAAACAGTATGTGCGATGTATGAGTTTACATCTTTTTCCTTCTTGTTTATGGAGCTATTCTCTCACTGTCAGGTAACATTTCATGCTACAAGTTTTGTTCCCAAATTAAGCAAATCTCCCTTTTTTTCCCTTTACTGCTGAATATCAACTGGGAAAATTGGACATGTGTCAGTCATACAGACTGCTGAAATATTTTGTCAAATTAAACTAAATATAGCCTACATAATAATTTTATTAAACATTTATAACAATGTACTGAATAACTAATATATTTTTAACACAGAATGAAGTGATATAATACAAACATTAAACATTGCTTAATTTCATTATATAATTGTACAACTACAAAAAATTAGATGAAAAACATTTAACACAAATTCTCCACTAAAATATTTTATATAAAAAGAATGGAGCAACATTAAAACAATGTTTTTTGCATTCTGGTACAAAATTCCAATTGTGCTTCCAAGGCTGGTTTAGAAATAGTCCTGCAATACAGTCTCTAACCAGGAGGTGACAGTGTTACAAAACATAAGTCTGTGTTTAGTCACTGCTGGACATGGTTAGTTCAGACTGAATTCCATGCGTACTCCTGTAAATATACATGGCAATGAAAAGCAAACAGAGTAGGGTATTTTGGCAAGATAATTCTTTTGTGTGAAGACAGTGACATTCCGGGTATACCACAGAGACACCACAGGAAGGAAATTGCTGGGTGCGGTTGTTTTAAATTTCAAGTTCGTAAAATACATTCTTATAAAGGAGGAATGCTGTTACTGGATACCCCAATAGCACCAACGAAATGTGTTCTACCTATCTTCACCTGAACACAGATCAGGAATTAATCCTTTTGCAAAGGCTGACTGCCAACTGATCCTGGTTTGGATGTTAGTATTCAAAGTGATGCAAAAGATTATAAAAAAACAACAAAAGTTGAAACTCTAACAAGGCCAGGGGATGTTTCTGTAATAAGTGATAACAACACTACTGTAGTACAAAAGCCTCAACGCTCTTGTGCTTATTTCCCAGTTGATATTTAGTAGAAATGTATTGAAGTGTCCCGTTACGAATGTGCTATACCAGTATTTAATAAATACAAGCCCATTTTATGGGTCTGTATTTATTTAATACAAGCAAACACAACTTGCTTATATTTTTTTAGGGGGATCGTGTTCCTGTGGTTGCCTTTGTAGGGAGATGAGTGATGTCACATCCTCAAAACAAGAAGGTTGTACAGTATATCTCAGGAATGAAAGCAGCACAAACACTACTTTCCAGCCCAAACAGAGCAGAACAGTGGGTTTCACTGTTTGTACTGTTTGTGGGGAGCTAATGTTCATAGCATGTTGCACAATTAGCCAAATGAAGCCCATTTTATGGGTCTGTATTTACTAAATACAAGCAAAGACAATTAATCTTGAAAAAATAATAAAATAAAAATATATATAGTTTCCACATTTGTTAAAAATATAATTGAAGATTCATATTAGCAGTAAGGAAGAAAATAATCAAGGGAAAAAGGTAAGAAACTATACTTTGTCTTTGGCCTCCAACAATGCAGGTTTTCTCAGTGTCAACACAGGGCATGTCCACACAATTCTCCAGATGGCCACTCTGACCACATGTGCATATCTCATAGCAGCCCACCTCTCCCTTAGGAGAGGGAACTTGGATCAGAGCCCTCCTGTGGACAAGGAACTCAGAAGCCTCTCCCAGCTTACAGCCTAGAATACATGTGTAAAGAGATTAATGAGAAATTGAATCATTTGCATGCTTTGGTTTTTAATTCCTAAAGTTAAATGAGACACAACGTAACTTTACACCTTTTTACACCTTCATTTGCTAGTCTACATATTCCAGGTTCGAGCCTGACTATGTCATTATCTAACTGTGGCCAGGACTCCTTGACTAATTTGGCTGTGACTGAGTCTGGCCAGGATGTGTTTGCAGAACCACCCCTTGCCAGGCACCTCTAAGCTTGCAGTGTTATCAGTGAGAGTTGCATTTCTCCTACCAACGCTGACTGTCCTTGTAGACACTGTCATGTTGATTACCTACCCTTAATTTATACTGTGGAGTATAAAGGGGAGGAAATTGGAAGTCAACTAAAAAAAAAACTGTCTGCTAAGCCTAATATAATATTGAAAATGAAAGCATAACCACAGTAGTACTGGGATAACTGTATAAGAGTTCGGAGTGGTAGGTATTTAACAAAATACATTTTAATTGTCCTCTTTCAGTTTCTCAATACATACTTGTACATCTCAGTCTTGATGAAGGAATAGCCTGAGTGAAAATGTACACAGTAAAATACAAAATTCTGTCAAGCTATACAAAAGGAGTTCCTCTGAGAATGTATTTTAAAAAAAATGTATTTCAAAAGTGTATTTCACTTTTGCCCAAAAGGGCATTTACATTAAAAAGGTGCCCAAATCAGGTTACTTATTAAGTTAAGCAATGAATGTCACCTTTCATGGAGTTTAAATCTCTGTAATCAGACTGCTATACCTTGTACACAGAAGTAAGGTAGACACTCCTGCCCTGGCTGGCACCCCTTCCTGTTCACCTCACACAGCTGGTTGCTGGGGCAGGGGTTGGGGTTACAGGGGTGAATCACCTCCTCTATGATATCTCCTAGGGAACTGGGGCCTGGGAAAACAAGAAATAAAAACCTTCAATCGAAATCAAGGAAGAAGTTAAGGGTAGGAGCAGGTGTGTCAGTTTTGCCATTCCTGAAAAGAGATCACCTTGAAACGAAACACTGTTTAGGTCACAAAAAGGATTCCTGTTATTTTCATTCATTGTATGGTATGGTTACTAGTTTCAGAAATGAATAGTTCCTGGGCTGCCAACTGGTTCAAATAGTGAAAGTGTGCTCCTGGAACATGGAATGAAGTTTGTCCAGGGATACCGTTGTCATCGGCCAATGGCTCTTTGAAGTTGCCCCCCTACAAACAGCACAAAACAATGTAACAATGCTCAGAATGTGATGGTCTATGCCGCCGATAATAATGTCTGAGGCACTTTCTTTTTTCAGGGGGATCATGTTGTTGCCTTTGTAGGGAGATGAGTGATGTCACATCCCAAAAACAAGAAGGTATATCTCAGGAATGAAAGCAGCACAAACACTACTTTCAATGGTACAAACCAGCCCAAACAGAGCAGAACAGTGGGTTTCACTGTTTGTGCTGTTTGTGGGGAGCCAATGTTCATAGCATGCTGCACAATTAGCCAAGTGCCATCGGGGTGGAGATTACCAGAGTGTTTTTGGAAGTGGAACAGTGACCTGGAAGTGCATGCATGTGAGTGTGCAGTGTTGTCATTCAGAGATCAATCACTTCCTCCAGGTGACGCTAACTGGTTTATAAGACACTGCGAAGGCTGAAGATTGTAAAATGATAAGTGACTCCGCAGTGTTAATTTTAGAGGCAAAATGAAGAGTCATCAATCCTTCCATGTTGGCACAAAGGTTGTAGTGGTCAATGCTAAGTTGATTAATGATTGATAAGTCCAAAATGGATACAAAATATACAATAATTGCTTATTCAAAACCTTTTAAAAGAGTTGTACTGTTATTATATGTCATAACAGGAGAGCATCTTGCTACGCATTATCACATGACAGATTTTTATCAGTTGATTCTTAAGGCTCCACTGTTTCCAGACTTTGCTGTGAAGTGGGGTGTTGCTAAGGGAGTACGTGACTCAGAGGATGCAAAATACACGGGTTGAGATCACAATTTCAGATTTGGAATTGAAGAGAAGCTCCAAGAGGTAATAGTGACAATGCAGACAAAAAGCTTTTGCTCTGGCCAGGTCAAGTGTGAAGAGAAATTCCAGTCACAAGTGTATGGTGTATCCAGATGTTTCCTGCTCTTTAATTGCAATCTTTGCCAAAAAAAGACTACCACGCTATGCTTCAGAAATCACTTTACCAGTACTAGAACATTGGCCAAAGAGCAGTCAACACCTAGTAAAAGCAAATGAAGACCTGATTGTTGTTACTCACGTTCGAATACATGGCATTGGTATAAAAACACTCTTTTTGCAAACAACAAATTCCAAGACCTTAAAACACGTGAAACTGAAGAAAAGGACTAAATAGGTGCATTTTGTGTGCCTCTGCCCTGTGAAGGTGAACAACTTGAAATGGTAATCTTTAAAAACAACACATGGCTGAGTACATGGTGTGCTGAAGAAGGCCTGAGCTTTCCGTGCCACTGGAATCCTTTCAAAGGCAAAAGCCTATTCTATTTGTACAGAAGTGATGGAGTATACAGCATAGATTATCTTGAAATCACCGAAACATGGGTAACAGAGAGCAGTGGTGTCAAATACAATGACTGGATAGACAGCATTACAAAGGAAATATAAGAGGCGAGGAAGAGCACTATACATCAAAACATGCATCCAGGCACCAGAACAGAGAGGAATCAAGGAACCTGAATCTTATTAAAAGCTGTTAAAAGCGTAGTCTTAGGAGTATCAGTGGTGAAGCTCTGATTTGACACAACTTGTTATAAAGCGGTACCAATACACAATACAATATTGAAGCAATATTAAAAGTAAACTGAGAAATAACTGAATATTTTTTATAGCAGGCAAGACTCCATCATACTATTTAGTCATGGGAACTTGTTTATACAGTCAGTCTCTATGTAGAAAGTTGCATCAAATAATCATTACTGATCAATGTGAACTGAACTGATGTCAGCCAAAAAAGCTACACATGCAAACACTTAACTGAGTGAAGTCAATAAATGAGGTAATCAGTTGAAATATTTCCCTGTGACCTGTTTATCAACTAGCAAGTGTCAATTAATTATTACCATACCATAATAAAATTGAGTTATTACAGTACATAAACTTGAAAGAAATAATGAATTTCTTCAAATTGTTTGGCAATTTCAAACCGTGAAATTATACCTAATAATACAACAGTATAAAATACACATAATACGACTAAAATAAAATAATACAACAGTATAATATAAATATCTTAAATCAGAACATCCACACTAGTTATCTGGTTATTACAAAGATTTTAACACATCTTTTAAGTAATATAGACACTCCTTCAGTACTTACAATAAACTCATGATAATAATTCAGGAGCCATCTGAATTAAGTTTTGTGAAAAAATACAAAAGGCTAATCTAAGAATGCTGTCAGTCTATTACGGTCAATGCAAAAGCAAATGTCTTTCACAAGATAATAAAAAAATATTATTTGAGCTGTATTTTTATTAAAGGTTGCTTAAAATACAGTTTATAAACTCAACAAGTCTTGCTATAATTCATTTCCTTGATGCTGTTATTCAACATGGCATACAAATATCACTAAAGATTGCAGCTTTTCCCTGCAACTTTCAAAAATATGAAAAATCTAAACAACAAAACAAAATGCAGCCAGACATCGTTTCTATGGTCCTTCCTTTTTTTGCCTCACCAAACCCTACATTTTCTACAAGTTCTTGAGTAGCAGGGAACTACAAATTAGTCTACAGCTGATAAAAAAGATCTGTGATTTGTCAGACTCAAAATCTACCCACAGAAGTCCTATCTGAGATGGAGCTTTTGAACATCTGTTAACAAACAAGATGTAAATAGGTCTTTTTTCTTTGACTGTAAAAGATTAATACATAAATGCAAAAATCACATGCTGAAAAAAAATTACAAAATGTAGTAGCTGTAATGAGAGATGAAGCACTTTTGTTAACACAGGATGAGACCAGGAATCTGTTATTTCAATGTAATATTTTCAAGGATACTGCTAATTTGGCTATGTCAAGTTCTTTCCTTTCTTGCTATGTAATGTCATACCCAAAGCCACAGCTGAAAGTATACACATTTGCTAAAACCTCTTAATTTTCACCTGCAAAAATTCAAACAAAATCAGACTTACTGTATCGTTACTTAGGATCAAATTTATTTGTAATGAAAAAGACAAGAGGACTTTGATATACAGTATATTACAGGAGGTCTCAGTGTCCTGTAAAACAAGCAGAAAACCTGTAATAAGAACAATAAACAAATAATAGATTTCCAGTCTGGATGTTTCTTGCTTAAAAAATGTTACAAAGTAATGTTAATAGCTTTGCACAGAGATGAGACTTATTTCTCATCTGATTGACTGACAGAAAACTAAAATATAAATGTGAGTTATAACCTGTGCTGTCAGATATCCTATAAGGAAGCCATGGTGATAGTAGTGTATAATCACAAAATATTTCATGTGGAACCTAAATAGGTATAAATCTATTTTTTTCTTCCTCATACAGGCATGAAAAAACATTTCTGTTTTCTCTGATCATACCTAGTTTCAAAATAAATATAAATCACAAGTGACTGTAAGTGGTAAACTTACCTCAATAGTGGTAAACCTCATATCTATAGGAAATAAAGGACTCATAACCAGTACCCAGAGGCTTAAGGGCTGGAAGGAAAGAGGTGCTAAGTACTTAAGTAACACACTCCCACTGTTAGTATGTAGGTACAAGATGCTCTGAATGTATACTGTAGCATGATTTTGCCACTAACTACATCCATCCTGCTGGTTTTCAGAAGCTCAGAAAGAGAACTCTTGAAATAACAAGATACAACAGAGAAGGAAGAGAACTAACAACTAAAGAGAAGGAAGGTGTGGTTGGAAATCAAACTTTTTGAGAAACAGCTAAATAAAAGTGTGTACTGTACATGCAAAGCATTTACTATAATGACTCGAGTTGAGTCCTTTTTTGGAGTGGATGTAACTGACTTGTAAATAATGCATTTTTACTGGGTTATTGTCTTTATTCCCCTAACAGTTTTAGTTGTGAATCAACTAGTATAGGTGAGATTTTCTCCCCATGTCCTGAAAGTCTCAAGTCTGATACAAATGTGATCTCAATATAATTGGGAATAAATATATCCTACAAAACTGGTCACCATTTAATTAAAATGATGTTCTGAATGATGTAATTAAAGTGATGCTACAGTGCACCTCTGCCATCCCTTTAAGCCAGGTGAATGGGAGGAAGGTCATCACAGGATACAGGTGGAATGGAGCAACTCTTTTCTTCCTTAGAGAGTCAATGCTATGTACAGTAGCATAGCATTCGTAACACTGATGTCATATGCCCTATCTGGGGCTATGCTCAGACCATTTAGACAATGGAATCTTCAATATCCGAAATATCATCTCAACAGAGGTTTTTGTACAACAGCCCAGTTAAAGTGTTCCTGGGCTCTAAGATCTGGAACAATATAGGGAATCATTAAAAAGGTTGTTAATTGCTTCACAACACATAGAACTTAAAAGCAATTACTGTTTTTTGTGCAGTATCTCAAATTTACCATAAATTGTGGACTTCCAAGAGTCATAGATATATTGCTGATCTGACACCATGTGTTGCAGATCATCTGATTATACCCATTTTAGACAGGCACATTTAATAACTTGTTTTTGAAGTCAAAATGATGGACTGATTTTTACATTTATTGTGTAATCATATTTTCCTAGGTTAGAAATTATTTTTTACTTTTACATTGGTGCTGTGAATTGATTTTTTGTTAATATCAGCTCTGTTTGACCCAGTGAGGGCTTTAATGGGGATTTCTGAACCCGTTCAGAGGAATAATGTAATGTAATAATTAGAAAATCCTGCAAGACAATATGTTAATCACAGTATATAGCTACATGTACAGTGGACAGAACTGTATATGAGGACATTATCTGTAATTTCACTAAACCCCTATTTGATGGTATTCCATAATTCAAGACTCAGAAACATCATGAATGCATGCAAAAACTGTTTTAGAGGCAAAGAAGGAAAACTCTTGAACAGATAGAATAATATAGACTAAACTGGATGAAGGTGGGGTTGGAAATAAAAATTTCAATCCCAAGCATGAAAAAGGCATGTGTGAAAGCATCACTTTTTGCACGGCACACTGTTGCTTTGCTGAAGCTCTCTGAATCACCAAATTTGTAATAATAATTGCTTACACTTATATCACGCTTACACTTATATCACCACTCAAAGCGCTTTACTGGTAATGGGGACTCCTCTCCACCACCACCAATGTGCAGCATCCACCTGGATGATAGTGCGCACAGTACACTCACCACACACCAGCTATCAGTGGAGAGAAGAACAGAATGGTGAAGCCAATTCATAGATGGGGATTATTAGGAGGCCATGATTTGGAAAGGCCAGGGTTATACAGAACGCTGGGGTTATACCCCTACTCTTTTCGAGAAACACCCTGGGATTTTAATGACCACAGAGAGTCAGGACCTCGGTTGCACGTCTCATCCAAAGAACAGCGCCTTTTTACAGAATAGTGTCCCCGTCACTATACTGGGGCATTAGGACCCACGTAGACCCCAGGGTGAGCGCCCCCTGCTGGCCCCACTAACACCTCTTCCAGCAGCAACCTTAGTTTTTCCCAGAAGGTCTCCCATCCGGCTAATTGACCAGGCTCACACCTGCTTAGCTTCAGTGGATTGCCAGTTGTGAGCTGCAGGGGGATATGGCTGCTGGCCATAGTAAAAAAACTGCAGCAGCCACAACAAATCTCTACCAAATGCAGAGAGTTTGTGTTTCTGTTAACATTGAGCTACAACATGTTTTAGCCATTTACAGGCTATAGATAATATGAATGTAAATGATACCCTGTGTGCTAAAAGGTTTCTTACAAATAAAAATTATCAGCGAAACGTAAAGGGGTTTGACAATCTCTAATCTTTCTTTCTCTTCATAAAGCTCTCCTGTCAGCTGAATCCCTTTAAAAAGGTAATGCTGTTTTTTATAAGGGACTAACCAGGTGATGAAATGTGCTCTTAATCACAAAGTATGTCCAAGTTTGAACTAGACTGCACAGAGAAGGTGAGGAATAGAGGATGTGTGCTGCTTTAGATGATAAATCAGATACAGTTCAATCTTGCTTTGTGAAACCAAAAAGCCAGACATCAGTTAAGCAACTCTACCAATCTGCTCAGTCATGTTGTCAAAGCTGGTGTTGTGTTTCTTTCAAGAAACATCAAGACAGAATTTTGGATCAATTAGCAACTCGCAATGAAGTTCCCTAGATATAACTTTTTTTCTTGCTGCAGTCAGGTAAGGCAAGAGCCACAGGAGGAATGAGACTTAGGACCCACTTTTCTGATCCATCTGCCATCAGAGTTAGCATCAATTAGAACCGTTTTGACACAACTATATTCAGAGCTCTCAGTTCCAAGTGTGTTATGTTTAAAGAGCTTCATTGGGCTGTGATTCACTATAGTCTCTTCCAGCTCATTCTCACTCCTCTGACAGCATAGCAGAGGATATAGCTGGCAAGTTTCCACTGAATATTCCATTTAATATAAAAAGAGTTCAAAACATCTTTCCAATTCTTAATTAACCATGTTGCTAAGAGAACTGCATGAACTTTTCTAAACCAAATTCTACACATTAAACCATTTTACTGGAGATGTTAAGTTTACATATTCAGCAAAACCAAAAAACAAAATAAAAGCAAAGTCTCTGCATCAATTCTTACTGAGGTATCTCTGCAGGGGAATGCAGCGCTCTGGGTCATCTGTTGGTGAGAGAAGGTCACAGATGGTTTCAGGACTTTGTCCCTCGTTAAATTTACTGTGGTCTCCACAGTGTGTCAATATGTCCACACAATCTGACCTGAAGAAATAAAAAGAGATTTACATCAACATCCCGCTTAACATGAATCCAGAAGCTTCCTCTTTAAAAAAAAATGTAACTATACAAATTATTTTCAAGTCCCCCTGATTTTCTAATTAACTTGACTTCAGCTAATACATCTTATACCAAGAGCCACTCGAAGAATGAGAACTTGAACCCTCCTTAGTGATGTGCATTTTCTTACCCATAACTCATTTTCACACTGTATAGCCCACAGTACTCTCACTGACGTGTATCTGGTAAGTAACAGAAGTAGGTACTACATAGCAAGATAAGATCAGACCCTGGCTGATTCAAGTCCACTCAATCTTGGCCATTGTTCCAATTCTGGCATTCATGTGTTGGCACTTAGGAAGTTCCAGTTACATTCAGCTACAGTATGAACAGAGCCTAGTTTGAAATGTTAATGTCTGGACTGCAGCACTCCTGTGCTCTGAATGAGAACTTTTACTGTCAGAGAGACTGTAAGGTGTTATCAACAGGAAATATGTTCAAAGATTATACTTGAACAAAAATTGAAAGACAGAATGTGATCAAAGTAATTTAGTAAACTTATATTTTAAATAACAATTAACACAATTTTCTTATTCTGAAACTATGACACTTGTTTTGTGCTCTGAGCCAGCACCTTGTTGGGGGAACCCCATGAGGCAAAAGGCCAGGTTTCTTTCCTTTCTTTCAGACCACAGAAGAAGACCTGGCTGGAACCAGACGTCACCTGTTGAGATTCACTACTGGGACTATCTGTTGAATATGTAGAGGCTTCTCCAGCCCCCAACGCTAGTTACCAGTAGGTAACAAAGAAATGCTGGGAGCTGGGGTTTCAATTGCCTTAATCTGATTTCATGGCGGAGCCCATATGGAAGGATAATCTAAGGATCATCACAGTGTACATGTTCAATCTGTATATTCCAATGGAGCTAGTAACAGCTTTCATGGAGGGGCACAAGGAGTCTGGACTGGCAAGCGCCAGTTCTTAATCCCCCTCGAGGACCTGGATATTTTTGAAGGATTCAATCACCCACTGGTGCTATTCTCCACAGGTGCTGACAGGAGGTACCTTTCCTAGCCTAGACAGCAGGATTTCTGCAGGAAATGCAGATACTCTGGCCGTAATGATTAGGCATGCACAGCCATAAGGTGCCGTATCTATGGTACAGATGGACACACAGCCAAGGACTGCAAGCTCTCAAGAGGTGCAACAGATCTGTTTTGCTAGAAAATCAGATAGTTGGAACCAGCAGTAAGACAAGGGGAGAAATGAGAAAAAAAAAGTGCCCGCTCCTCCTAGACAAAGGACAAACCAGAGGCCACACCACCAGCCTCAACGGCACCAGACAAAGATCTGGATCCCCGGATCACCCCCACCAAGGGAGGAAAGGGGAAGAGGCTGGATTCTGGTCGCGAACACTGATCAGAGAGGGCAGAAGTTGAGGAAGGAAATGTTTGCTGACCTGGCCAGCTGCTGCATGACGAACAAATGGGTGGTACTCAGCGGAGACTTCAAGGTTGATCGGGAGAAGGGAGGCAACACCAGTTTGGCAGAGCTGGAGTCACTGCTCAAGCAATTCTTCCAGGTCACTTGGACAAATTCCAGGGGAGTGTGCAGTCTTCTGGATTACAACTTTGTGCACATGACCTGTTCTCTGGAGTGTCCCCACTGTGGTATTCCAACCAGGACCATGTGTCTGTAGTGGCTAATGCCAACCTGCCAGCATTTGGTCAGGGCTATTGGAAGCTGAACTGAACGATACTGAACACTATTCAGGAAACACTATGAGGGCTGGGTTGAAATGAAGTGTGGCTAAATATCAGTAGTGAAGTGGTGGAGGGCAGTGAAGGAGTGGACCAGAACCTTGGAGCAGATCTACTGTAGATGAAAGGCAGCCAGGGAAAGAAGCTGCACATCTCTGATGAGAATAATGAAACCCATTCTTCTTTTTAGTCAGGTCTGGGGAGCCAAGAAAAAGAGGATGACCCACAGACTAAGATGGAGAGATGGAGAGGTGGTGCTTGAAAGGTGTGATAAAGTGGAGGTGAAAGGCATAATGTCCCTGGTCTTCAAAGGGAGCAGGTTTAGCCAACCTCAATAAACAGAGGCTATAACAATGCTCTATACAGATGTCAGGATTTTGTCCAAGCTACTTGCCAGCAGGCTGAGGACTGCCCTGCCCCACACAATAAACAGAGACCAGATGTGTGCGTTGGAGGGGCGATCTGTAAGTTGGAACCTCCAACTCACTTGAGACGCTATCGCCTGGGCTAAGGACTGAAATGTGCCAAAGATGATAGTGAGCCTGGACTGGGAGAAAGCCTTTGATAGCGTAAACCATGGCTATCTGTTCAAAGTGCTGTAACACCAGATTAAGACAAAGTTTCAGCCACTGGATAAAGATATTGTACTCTGAAGTGGACAGCAGAGTTAACATCATCTGGGGGACATCTGGGGGTTTTCAACTAATGCTGTTCTATTCAAGATAACCTGTGCTGAAAGATCTTGTGTTCTGTATGAAGCCCCTTAAGATACTGGTGGTTTCATTCAAGAGCCAAGACAACTAGTCAGAGAGGTATGCCTGGGTGAACATGAAGCTGGGTCTGTGGAAAACACTGTTGCCGATCCTCACAGGGAAAGTGATGGTGTTGAAAGTGGACATCGTGCCGCCTTTAGTATACCTGGCCATGGTGTACCCACTGCTGTCCAGATTCAGACGAGTGCTGCTAGGGATTGTCTTCAAAGTCATCTGAGGGGAGGGGGGGCTTGCACGAGTACATCACAAGAAATCAAATGAGCCAGGTGGTCGAGGAAGAGGGGAGACACGTACTGGACTTCCCCTTAAACTTGACAGCATGTTTTTCTGCAACCTCTGTCAGGTGCTACGGGGCCCAATTGGTTACAAGTACCAGTACTTTGTCAGGCTGTGGTTCAACACTGATTCAGTGTTCCAACACTGGACCAAAAGCAGGAAATTGATCAGGAACCTACACCCACGCCGTCAAGTGGAGCCAGAAATACGAACCCGTGAGACAACCAACTTTGAACTAATCACAGGACCCAAAATAAAGAGGTGAGAGGGGAACAGGTCGCCGGGGAGAGGCTGATGACCCCAAAGGAGATCTGGGCACAGCCTCAACCCAAAGAACCTGTTGAGTGAAAAACAAGTTGAAAAACAAGTTGAGTGACCTCAACTGGATGGCTGTATACCAGAGGCTGGCGACCAGGAACCTGCACTTCCCCTGAGACATGTGTTTTGTCGAGGAGGCACCGAAACATGTGTTCTGGGGCTGCCCCTTCACCAAATCGGTGTGGGGGGAGAAATGGAAAACACTCTGCGACACCTGGAAGTGAGAATAGTGCTAAGCTACTATCATCTACCACCTGCTGGGGCTGGCACTGGCTGGACTGGACAAACAGACACAGTACCAGCTGTTGCTGTAAGGACTGTGGAATGCAGAGAATGCTCTCATCCAGCCCAACACAGTTGAGGGCGAGAGAGTTGGAGGAGAGGATCTTCATAAACCTCAGAGTCAGAATGAAGTGCTACGTAGCCAAAGGGGGATTATTTACAGCAATAGAGCACTGCAAAGGACTGTGGGCCCTGTACAAGGAATGAAGAAGTAACATTAAAACCTGTTCCGTTGCAGTCCTGTGGAAACCTGGACTACTGCAACTATCAGAGCCAGAGCACGTTTCAGGGACAGTGAATGGATTACAGTGAGTGGTAACACCCAGAAGCTTGGAGGGACTCTTTGTTATATGAATCCAACCTCAATGGCCACTGGCTAAAGAATTGATAATAGACAATTACTGGTTTGAGAAATTTTGAAAGCATGTTTGATTTGAATTGTTATTAAGAAATGTGTACAGTGTTTGTAATAAGATTTATTTAAATTAGATTAATTAAATTAAATTAAAAATTAAATTGAATAAGTTTACTCAGAGGCTTTGGGAAATATTCTGGCTCTAATCTGAGTTGTGACTAATGTCTCTGAGGTCAAAAGAAGCAATAATTCAGTCACTCCACTTTGTTCATAAGTACTGATGAACAGCAAGAGTTTGTAAAGACATTTAGTGACAATTATTGAAACTGGTAGGAAATAATTAACTTTCAGGTTTTAAGTCCATGCTTTCTATTTTTTTAAGACAAAAGAGATATGTACACATGTGGAAAATCCAGGAAAATATGAACATAAAGACACATTATTCAAATGTAAATACAGGTGAATTATAAAAGCACAGAGCATTACTGTATGCACGTTTGACACTGAATAGAAATGCTGAGCCCAGTGCTGGGTCTCTGTTGCTCAGAAAACAAGTGTGCCCCCTAAAAAATGGGGGTCACAGCTTATCCTGTCTCACCCTATAAATTTTGCTTGGCTTTTAGCCTCATTCATGTTGCAGCTCAGTCTGGATGCATTTATTCAAAAGCAACACATTACATAGACGCAAGAACTCCTCAATACTCACCTGTGGACCTGTATTTCATCCTCACCCTCAGTGAACTCAACACCATTTAATAGTGAATTCAATCATTAGAACTAAAACTGCAAAAGGCGATGCCAAATTACAACCTAAACGAGTAATAAGTAAAATCATTCTTTTAGGCAATGTACACAGATTATGACCTGCATAATGAAGAATTTACTTGGACTGAAGTATTAAATGGGACTGAATGTTTTTAATATATTTATATGACTTTTTTCAAGAAAATGTCCAGTAAGCTGAAGATGAACATACTTGCAGATGACACTTCCCCGCGATTTGCTGTAGCACGGCTTGATTTGCAGAGCACAGGCTACAGCCTTCCACATTTCTGGGCGACATTTCCGGATGTCCAAGACTGGGATATTCATGAAGGGCATTTTGATGCTCCCTTCTTCCCAAAGTTTTATATCACTCATGGCTCCCTGGTCTGACTGAGCATTGCAGCTCCTGAAGAGCTCGGTAGGCCTTTAAAAAGCAGACAAAATGAAATCAGTGAAATCAAACTTACCTCTTAAATGTACGACTGGAGCCTTATGGTTCCACAACACCTCTGTAATGTTCTAAGCTCTTTGAGAAAAATTCAAATGGCAGGATAGACCTCTAGTTACAGAGGCTGAACGATTGGAAATGGAATATTAAAAAGCTGTTTTTTGTGGGTCAGTAAACATAAATTCATATTATGCTTAAATCAACCCCATTTCCAAAGGGTTTTTGCAGGATTTGACATTAGGTCATCAGCTTTTACCAGAGAGTTGTTTGGATCATTGCTTTTGCAACTATCCAGGGCACCTGAGGAACTTCTGTCTCTTTTCTGTCTCAACAGTTCTCAACAGCTTTAGATAACCGGAGCATCATTCCTATAGGTTATCAGCCATGATCGTGGAGAGTTTACAGACACTTTAACACTGAAAAACAGAGCTTGTGAATTATTATAGAAGGGTTACGTTGAGAAAATAACATTGTGATCTACTGTAGGATTCTGTTGGGCCTGGTCATACTGGAATGGGAGACCTCTAAGGAAAATGCAAATATAAGTTGCTGCTTTAAGTATTGTTGATGAACCGGTACATTCATCAACAATACTTCAGTCCAATTCAGAATTTCCCAAATAAAGTCCCAGTACTGTGACCAGGAAAACTGTGCTATAGGAGGTGTTTTGGATGAGATGTTAAACCAAGGTCTTGATCACTGAAGATCCCATGGCACTGTCTGTAAAAGTAGGGGTCTTAACACTGGTGTCCTGTAAACATGTTAACATGTTTTCCTTTAGTTGAGAAGCAATTTCTCACTTCTCAATCTGACCTGCTTTGGAGTGCTGGTATATAATTTCTGCTTTTCATCACCCAGAGAGATGGTGGATTTCAGAGGTGGATTTAGTTGGACCCTTCACAATGTGAAGAGCTTTGCGATTCTTTGAGATGAAAAGCATTACATAAACATATGTTGATTCACATTTTAATTAGTGCATTTCTAAAGTCAATCTTGAAAATTATTAAGTGCTTTTCATCTTTTCAGATAAATAAATTGTTGAAATGGATTTCTGAAGGAATTTTACTTATCCCCTTTTCTAGGTTATTCTTATTTGTAGGTGTTCCAAGCTGCCATTTTATGTAAAAAGTTAACATCTTGGAATGCCCGAGTTCCCTCATACTTAGACAATGTTTTCTTAACTTGCTGGAGACGGGGTCAGGACACTGGGCTGGAGGAAGACTTCCCTTTGAATCCTGCAGTGTTATTGTTAATGCAATCTTTCAGAGGAATTTTGTGCAGAGGAAATTGAACTGAAACTTTCTTTAACCAAAATAGAAAGCCTGCCCCAGGAATGGCACTGCCAATATAAACAACATCCATAGGTCATATATGCAATATATGGAAAACAATTTAAGTCTTTAGTATATTTTTCTTTCCAGATTGTGCTGAGTGGAAGACTGACTGGTGAACTCCATTCACTCATAAAATTTTCAGCATTTATGTTTTGATTATACAGATTTACTTTCAATAACTGGAAAGGTATGAAGGCCTTTACAAAACACTGTCTGAACGAACAATCCTCAAACCATGCAAGTGGTGAATTAAGAACAATATGAATCATGCGATAATTTCATCATTTTAACACATCGATCAATGTGATCTTGTGATGTGTTACTGCAGCTCTACTGACCAGACTCTGCTCTTTACATCTTCTTGCTACACATAACCAAAGAATCTCACTGCTGAGAAATTTCTCTTTGTATGACTTTGCCTCTCACTCCAACAATGTAGGCACAAGCAGGGATGCTAACATCATAAAGTAGCTGAGCACTCGCATAGTAAATAAATAAGGATCATGTTTTAAGTCCTTGAATATAACGCAAGGAAACGAAAAAGTATTATTTTTATGGATACAAGGCAGAAAACATGATGGCTGCCCTGGATATTAACTACAGTCCAATAACATGATGCTACTGGTGCCAGACCGTGAGATTTTCTCAAAAACATAAATTCAGACACCTTTCACAACGGGAAGACAATTAATTCTATTGGTAATACGGAAATAAAAAATATTCCTTGATATATGTTTGGCTTTTCACACAACTGATTCCAATGCAATTCATTTAACACCCATGGAGTATCACCAGTGTTTATTTTGCTAAACTGTGTGGTATTTGTCATTTTTCTTCGCTTAATTTAAACTGCTTCCGATTCAAAGCTATGTTTTAGACTCGAGTTCAAATGTATCAAGCTGCGGCATTTTTCACTCTGCTGTCAATAAACAATGTCTGAAGAGCAATATCAGAGGCTCTGAGTAGGGCTTTGTACAGTCCCTCTCCAAATCACCAGTCAAACAGGACCTCAATTTTCTCAGTGCTTTTAAAGATGACAGTACATTGTGTTCGACCATGACAGTTCAATTGTACTGTATACAGTCTGAGCACATTATAATTACTTACAGCCCCAACATAATTTACTTTTAAAAATATTAGTTTCAAGCGCATATGAAATGAAATGCAAGATAACAGTCTTAATTTATTTGTATGACCTAAATAGGCTGTTTCATTTCTCAGTTCTGGAATAAAAATTCACAATTTGAAAAGTCATATCTGTATAACTTTAAGAAGGAATTTCATACAGTATTTCAGTATTTTGTACAGTAATTCAATTTGTGATGAAAAGGGTACTGTTTCCTCCCTAGGCACAAACTCTGGATACACTGTAACTTGTCCATTAGAGTTTTGCTGGTTTGTGACTATGTTCCTCGCACATGGTCATTCTGAATATGGCAGCTTTGTCCCATTACCTCCTCCTGGCTGAGGAGTACATACAGAATTTCCCCTCAGGTCAATGTGGGGACTTAAACATTGTCTTATACTGGTGGCCTGAATGAATTATTAAGGTGAGAGATCAATTTCTTCGTAACTGCTAATGGTGTCACCAATACAAACATGGGTCTGGCCGGACAATTCTGAATTCCCTAAAAAACAAACCTAGCAAATAAACCTTTCCCAAATGTGAATATTTATCAAGTAGAAAGAATGTGAAGTGACTAACATTGTTCAGCAAAAAGATAAAAGAAACAGATAACAACCTGTTATTGTGAAAAACAAAGTTCCATGTCCTCATAATGCACCTCTAGACCCCATTATTTGCCAAATGTATGCACACTAAATACCATCTGCACAATAAGTGTTTCACTATCCTCCTGCAACTCCCCTAATTTTGAACAGAAACAAAATAAGCTATTTATGGTGGTATTCTGGGTGACACATCTTCATCGTTACCTCTAGAAGTGCAGAAGCAGCATCACAGCACTGTCAGTCTTGTTATTGTAATATCTTCAATGCTCTGTGTCCAAGTATTGTTTTGTATGTCAGGCTGTGATATTTTACTAGGGACACTTAAGAGAAATGTACCTGTTGTTGAAGTTTGTACAGTATGTCAGATCTTTACAGCCCAGCTGGCATGGCTCCCGAACATCAGCCAAGCAGTTCACCATCGCAGCCTCCATAGGGTTGTACTCACAGAACTGGTCAAACTCCTGCCAGCTCTGTGTGCTGCCCCAGTTGGTACTGACTGTGAAGCACAACTCTCTGGCAGAAATGCAATTTCAGCCCATCAGGTTTCAAAAAAGACATGCACAGAACACAACATTATTTGTAGCATTATAGAGATATCATACTTCTTCAACTTCAATACTTAACCAATTTTCCAAAAAAATACTTTCTGTTTTCTGTGTACTCTAATGATCATAAAACCTAGACTCCATAAAGCCATTCAAGACAGTTTTACAACGATCCTCCTATTTATAGAAACAGGTATTTGCTGCAAGTAGGAGGTTCACCACTCCTTCAAGCAGACAGCATAACATAAATAACTGGCTTCAAAATATTGCTATAATTTTGCCAAATGATCCTTTGGCCTAGAGTGAATTAAAACTTCAACCCACACACCTATCACTAATTACAAACTCATCGCTTGATGATGGCCTTGGGTTTGTCAGAGGTTTCTTTCGTCTGCCCAATGTAAAACCACCCACGAAGGGTCTGTAATTTGCAGTTGGCGGGTACTTTAACAGTTTAGATTTAACCCTGTTCCTTTTCCATTTCAAGTGTAAAAAAGATTTTCCACTAACCTACAGATTGTGGTATTGGCTTTGTAACAGCAGTGCAGCTTTGCACTATCCAGCCCAGTAGATGGGGAAGTATCCACAGAAACACCATTGTTGCCAGATCCAGCATTTCCCAGAAAACACTGCCAGAGTGGATCCTGGGGCAAAGGCTGTTTGTCACATTCCTTGATCAGCCCATCTATGATTTCGTTTTCCGTCTTCATTGTCCTCAGAATTCTTTTGCAAGCAGTCTGGCAGTGAGCATCATCAGCTCTTTCACAGCAATACAAACCTGATAACCACAAGTTAAACAGAACCACTTTCAATTTCATATACATTTAAATTCATTTCCTTTAAATTCTCTGTATAACACATAAATGTCAGAAAATTCCGTTGGTCCAGTGCCACTGCTTGATCATGCAAATGTTGAAAGAAACATGTTGTACACAGATTTAAATTTAATCTGATCAATTTTGTTATTTTCAAAATTAGAGCTAGTCAGAATTGTGATACAAACCAGCAGCAAATTCCGTGTCAAGCTTTTGCAAAGAACAGATGAGGAGCTGTTTGGATGCATACCCCAAAACTACAGCCAAAAAAAAAGGGAAATACCGCAAGAAAATGTTGATTTTGCTATGAAGGGTTTCTATTCTAAGGGATTGGGTCAAATATGTAAAAATTAACATCAAAACAGTCAAATTATATCACATGTGCCATGATAATTAATACTTGCTTTATTTTGAATTCCCAACAAAAGAAAACAGAAGAGAGACACTTCCAGTCTGACTCACCATGTTAGTTTATACTCACTGTCAATAGGATTTTTAATTGGATAGGACTCTGTGTAGTTCTCAACACAGCTTATTAACTCTGGGCTGATGCTCTGGCAGTAATCTTCAACAGCCTTTATCTGGGAGAGAGTAGGTGGGGAGTCTGTCCGGAAAATTGCTTGACAATATTCTCTGCAGTTTGTGTGTCTTCCTGCATAGCTGCAACACACCGAACCCACTTGGGGAAGAAGAACACCTCAGTCAGAGACAAATATATCTGCACTTTTCATGGAGTTACAGACATTTGTATCGGCCAATGGTGGAATATTTGCAACAACTTACTGAAATAATTCATTCAATTGCATTGTTTCAAATAAAAGCTGTCTTCATACATTTGAGTATCACCATGCATATTACGAGATTAGCAGGGTTAATGCAGAGCTTTATTAGCAGGACGCAAATGTATGTTCACCTGGTTCACATAAAAAAAAGAGACATAAGAAGAACAAACATGCATGTTACAGAGACTGTTACAAAATATTGTCATTTGTTTTCAATTATTGAGACAATTTTAAAAACAATTTTTGAGAATCTGTTTGCAGATTGGAGGGCTGGAACAAACTGAAGTATTTTGGTTTGAAGGCCTTATTTCACACTCTACAGTTTAGTTAAAAGGAAAATATTTCTGTTCTTCTCACAAAAAACTTGTAGTAACTTACACTGCACATCTCAAGTACTAGTAAATCATATAACATCTATGTTAAGGTGCTAGCCTTATGTGTAAAGTCATGGGAAATTTTTTTAAAGTTTTCATGGGCTAAGAATACAGAGTATACTTAGGATGAGGATGTACTGTAGGATTTTGTATAAAGAGTCTGTGATTGTTATTATGGCTTAGAAAAAAGAAAATAAGCATTTCATTCATTCTTGAGATGTGGGACAAACTACAGCATTTTAGCTAAGCAGGGGTCTTGGCCTTTCTCCTGAGGCATGTAAACAAGGCTTATCAGCAAGGGTGGCACTCACTTCCTTCCTGTGTGAGACACTTGACCTCCTCCACTACGGAGGAAAAGAGGTATATCTTACGTGTTAGAACATCGAATATATGCTGACAACAGGCCATGAGTATGAAGGCTACTGCAGCCTTCTGCTGTAGATTCTTTGAGAATAATGTAACTGACAATGCTTTTTGTGAGTGAAAGCTCAGAATTTTTATTCTTTCTAAATGGGGGCTTAAATATAAGTACAACAACACAAAATCCCTCCCTACCTTTTTATCAATATTCCTAATTTCCCGAGTTTCCGTATTTCCTCATTTTTCTGTAGCTTCTTTAACAGTAATAAAAAGCTACAGAATAATACTTGTCTCACATTTTGCTGCAAAATACTTAAATTAAAAACTATGGATCAAAATATATTTCTTTAGTCACTTTCTTAGCCTATAAACAATGGGGCGCCAATCTTGCAAGCGTATAAGATGATTTATAGCTACTCTAAACTGTGATATTCCTTCTAATTACTGTAACAAACTTTGCCATCTCTTTATTTGACCACTGATAGTTCTGGCTGGTTCTGGCTGGTTCTTGGAGTACATGAATATGTACCGACAGTCTGTGACATCAAAATTAGAGCGCTAGACCCAAGATGGCAAACCCAGGATATCTCTGCTACTTAACTCTTGACTTTGACAGGGATTATACATGATTTATTATGATTAATGTAACACAAACTCATTGTCTGGAGGAAGTGCAGCTCCTGAAACTCTTCTACTGCTGAGAGCTTTTGTTTCCCTCTCCTCCACACCCAAACATCCAGTGTACAATATTAATAACTGTTGTATAATTATGTAAGGAATTCACTAGCTAACTGCTGAGAAGGACATTATACCAAATACAAGATTGATTGATTGATTGAAAACCTTACTGACGTTTTTCCAGAAATTTCCTGTGAGCAAATCACACATGGTGATGGGTTGGATGGGTAGGGATGCTGGGGTAATTCACATGTACCCTGTAATGCTTTGTAGGAAATCATATTCTCTTCACTGTATAGCCTTCGAGCCAGTGAGTGTGCTGACACAGCCATTAGTCACAAGAGCCCTACAAACCAGAAAACCGGGGACCTTGGAATGTCGTGAGCTTAGGTCTCCCCAGACAGCTCAGTTCCTTCTGGTGCCAGCAACTCTCATTAGGCCTGTTCCCTTTCTGGGGCACAGGCTCCAGGCTATGGGGCACTTCCAGCACTCTGACACATTCTGACAGCCCAGCTCTAATTACTGTTCACATGTTTTCCTTGTGTGTGAGCCAGTGTGAACATACATGTATGCATGATTTGATATTGTTATTTATTTTTGTCAGAAAAACCAGTACAAAAACCCCAACAAAACAAAGCACTTTGCTTTAGGAGAATGGATCACATACAGTACATACTGTACACTATACATAATACAGCAAAATATACACATTTCAACCGTATACAGAAAGAGATTATATATGTTTTTATACAGTTATACTCATTACAATATATACTTATATAGAGTCCAGACAAACATTAAAAATACTCACTTTCATTTCTGCTGATACAACTGTAGAGAGCATTCTAAAAACAAAAGTGAAGTACCTGAATCAGTAAGTTTGATACTAACACATTAATGGATGAAATATCCTTATAATAATGTGCTACAGGCAAATAATACTCTAGTTTATAACAGCAGGTATGTTAACACTCTAACTTTGCTCCGGTGTAGAGATTGTACACATGTACGTCACTACTAAGGATTAAATAACACAATTTATTTTGCACAAAGACCTGAGGTGAAGCAGCTTAATCCTGCACACACAGGAAGGCAGAGACAATGACCAATTAGCTTATTCTCACAGTGTAAGATTCCCACAACAGTATAATACAGTATGGCAAGAATCTTTTCTACTGAACAGAAGACCCAGCTTTTGTACAGAGGGTAAAGTAACTTGACAAAGAGCTTTCCACATGTTTCTGTGTTTGAGTTTTGATTTTGTAAACAGAAACACTTAAAGAAGTGCTTAAAAAGAATAACCATTCAAAAAATGTTCCATAAACTTGTCCAGATAATTTTGCTATAATTTATGGCTGTAAGAAATGCTAGCAATGTTTGTGATCACATCTTTCTGATGTTCACTCTATGAATAAAGAAATTGTTGTTTAAATACCGATAAAGCTTTCTTCTGGTTTTTCCAATTCTCATTTTAACAAAGTCAAAAAGAAAGCAATAAGATTAAATTTCCTAAATGCTTTCATTGCAACTGACTTTTCATTCCAACAAAATCACGATGCTGAGAATAATAAATCAGACTAATTAGAATCAAAACATTCTGTGTTTCTGTATATTACTGAATACAAGATGGGCAAAGGAATGAAAATAAATCACTGGTTATGATGAGTCTCAATATGCCAACTAAAAAGTAGCGTACAAAACCAAAATAACTGCAGAGGATGTGTTCAGAGATAAACCTGACCATCAAAAGAAAAAAAAGAATAATTGATTCCCTCTAGGCTTTTCTACAAAATTACAACATAAAAGTAGTGAAGTCAGAGCTCAGCAATTAACACAAATAAACAGCAAGCTTAGACAGTAAAACGTTTTTTTTATGGGACAGAGGGACACACCAAAGACTGACAGTAAAGGCAATCTGGGAAAAGACTCTCTCAGTCTGAACAAGCACAATAAATAAAAAGTTGACAGCAATGAAGCATATGCCTTATTTTTTGGCAGATCACATTATTCAGTGAGACAGACAGGGGACTTGCCTTTTATCTCTTCATTACTCAGACAACAATTACAGAGCGTAAGAATGATGCCTTTTTATTTTAGCCAACGCAAAAAAGTATCTCCCTATACATCATAATAAAGTGCAGGAATTCTATATTTGGGATGTTTCTGTAAAACCTACAACTAAAATACAAAAACATACCTATATCACAGTTATGCTTTTGCTGAAAAAAACACTTGTGAGGAACCATAAAAAATTCAGAAGTCATAAAGATACATACCTCAAATCCTTTCTCGCATTTTTTTCTAATGTCATTCTTGGATGATGCCTAATGGGGAAGAAAAAACGGTCTTCATTTAAGTGTCCAAAGAGCCAACATAACATATAAGATATGAGCATTATTTAAGAAAAGGTCTGTGCTAAGGATAAGGCTGACTAGTTCAGAAGACGAAGAGGAATGATTCTCATAACCTGGATTGAAGTTTTCTAAATATATGCCCCCCCAATTTCTTACCAACTTGCACTCTTGCCGACAATCTGGGTCAATTGCTAGTTCACAGCACCCAAGGCCAACCCACCCTTCAGACTTCTTGGATGCACCTTTGAAATAAAGAAAAGAATTTGGGAAATGACATGAGAGGCCGAGTGTTTACATTGAAAATATACCACCCCCTCTTAGCTGCCTTGTAACGAAATTCTTCTTACAAGTGAGCTTGTTTGACTGGGGTAGAAACTGCTCCAATTACATGTGCATTACTAATAATTAATTCCCCAACCGTGAGTTACTAATAATTCTGGGCAGAGACAAAACATGAAAATAAAAGTTGACTAATAGATTTAATGACTCCACCAAAGCGACTTCAACAATCTCTCTTTCCCAGCGTTAATCCCGCATCAGCAGGGCCCGCTTGTCGGCACGCCCGTCTCCAGTTGGTGGCTGAACCAAATCTTTGAGCTGACGTTGCCATTAACTGCGACTGAGAAATACTCCAACCGGCGCGTCGCTCCGCCTGCCATCGGAGTGGGAAGGAGGGGGGGGGAGCTACTTCAACAATATGGATTGGTAATCTGCAGCATCTCTTTGTCAAAGGAAATTATTCCAGCTCAGGCTTGAGACTCTATTCTCCATTCACGAATCCCACAAGGAGCTAGAGTTACCTCAGCATGACGTTACCTGCTTCAGCACTCCGTCTAATTCCACTTCAGCTCTACATAGTAAATCTTTGCTCTAACCTTCAAACGATTCAATGTTTTTAGCAAATCTGAAAAAATGTTTAGTTCAAGAATTATTCTGGTTGCCCTGCTGTATCAAAAACAGAAATGCTTTGTGATGTGGTGACCAAAACGGATACAATATGTACTGTACTGTATGTTGTTCACCCAAGAGCAAGCTCTGTGAAGTTAACTCTGAAGCTTATGTTATTGCAAATAGTTTGACTTTATAAGGCTCTCTTTTAGAGCTTGTCAGTAAGATAAAAAAAACTCAGCACAGAACTGACCTTCCAGAGCATGCTTTTGAGAGAGCATGTTACATATATCAAGGAAGCTTGTATGACCTTTTGCAATGCTTTCTTAAGTTGTTGGAAAGAAGACTGACAAGTCAATATAAACACAAAAATGTTAATATATTTTTACTCTACAGGAAATACCAAAAAATACGTTTTCTTTAATTTGCAGATGTAATTCATTTGTTAATTTTTGTACTTTCTGTGGTGACCAGACGTTTGCATGAGGAACTGAAGGTTTAGTTCCATTTTGGATAAGTTCTAATATTGGTTGTACAAAGAGAGAAGGTACAGTATATGGAACTTAAGACAACAAACCACTTTGCAAACCCACCTCTAAGATGAAATTAAAAATGGTAATATGATTTACAAAAGGTCTTACCAGGTAAAGTGGAATTGATGCAAACCCAAAGTTCATTCTGAAAGAAGAAAATTAGGAAGGCTGTATTTAAATTAGAGAAGAAATGCTTTATTTTTCTGGGGAAGGCTCATCGGGATCCTGATTTATCCTATGGGTGGACTGCTCACATTGTAGTAAAACAATTCTATAAAGGCAATTGGCTCATAGCTTTCCCATACGGAAATATCTATACTGAAATGTAGAGCAAAAATGCCAATTGATTCATTATATCATCTAGATTTTTCATTAATATCATTAATTAATATCATATTAATATTAATGGCTGAATTTAATCCTAATCCTCCCATACTCCTAGTTAGATCCACTGCTCACCCCAAGGTTACATTCCCCTCCCAAACTCAGTTGTGTTCTGCTGAAACACTGCTTAACTCTGAAGTCCAGTTACTTTTTGCAAGAATTCTTTCACTGTTTTGAAAGTCATTTGCTGTTTGTGGTTGCTTAAGTTCTACAAGATGACAGAACCCACATAATAAAACTGAACACTAACAAAAACCATAACAAATGCTAAACAGAACAAACATTTGAGCAAAAGATTTGTGGCTAATAAAAATTGTATGAAAAATTAAATAAAACAAACATTCTCAACTGGTTACTGAAGACATAAAATACATATATGGATGAACAAAAAACAAAGCATGACAGGAACTGCATTAACCTTCAGAGCTATATTTTGACAATTTTGTTTTTGTTGTATTGTTTCAGATTAATTTAATAGTTTAGAGTAAATGTTTTGTCAGGAATTCTCCACTATCTAAGACCATAATCATAATCAAGGAGTTCAAAGAAAAAATATATTTTACTAGAAGAATACAAACATCTAAGCTGGAAGAAACACTGGAAAAGCACAGCAGAGAGGGCAAAATAAAATGCTGCTCTCATTCAGTAGTAGTATAGACAAGTCTAGATCCTTATCAGTTTATCCTATTTGCTACAGCGTTAAGAGGATCAGAAATATGCAACTCTCGTCCATCACAGGGTTACCCCTATTAAAGCTGGAGATTCACCCTCTGCAGGTAAAATATTACAATTTTTGTGACGTGTGGACCCTGTGGACCTTTAGAAAAGTGGCTTGAGAAACAGTGAGAAAGTTTTCCCACTTAATTAGTATTAATATATGTTTTAGTAATTGATTAAATGTTCATGTAAAATAAAACTTACCATAGATTCTGGACAGTAGCTTGGTAACCGTTGTAGTAGATGTTTTAAACGGGATTCACTCTTTATGGTAGAAAGCTGTGAAGAGTGATAAATAGATCTGAAGACACTCCTGCCTACAGCAGCAATTCTATCTTACAGCGTGTATTTATCTTGCATATAATGAAGTGGAGAAATCAGAAAATGCCTTACCAACTGAATCAAAATAGAATTTTAAGCATGTTGGATTGTGCGAAAACAGAAGATTTAGGCCAGATACCAGTGTTAGCAGCTCTACTCTTCAAATAATTCTTTAACACCTACAAGAGTCACCAACACCACTTACTGTACAGCAGCAACCTGTATTTTCCTTGGAGGTCTCTGTGACTGGCTGGTCATGACTGCCACTAGAGGCCGTCAAAGGCCTTCACACATGTAAATAGTTGCACTGGTGTCAATTAGTATGTTAACATCTCACATGGATGTTAATGAGTAATGTTAAGAGTATAAAAAGGACTTGCACTGTGTTACTGGGGTTTGGGTTCGGGTTGGGAAGGCTGTCTCAAAGGATTTGTCATCTTTAAAAGCTCTGTCATACAGTTGCTTGGACTTTCCTTCTACAGTCCTCATGGTTTTAATGTGTTCAGACTCTTTATCAGAAATTTGTTAATGCACGGGAACATCTGCATTAATTTTTGATCACACCTTGTAGGAAGGTGGTAGTTATAATTTAAAGACCAAGAAGTGAAGCTTCAAGTGCTGCACTACTGCCATCAGGAGGCAGAGGGCAGATCTCCGAAACTGTGTGGCACCAATGGGATAAGGAGCCAAAATAAAAACAACTGAAGCATGACTTTTGGGGAAAAAAAGTCTGAAAGAAAATTGTAGAGAGGAACTTTGCAAAAAGTCTAGTTAGAGAGTTACCAAAAAGTAGCGTTTGTGTGTATGTTATTCCTGTGACCAAAATATAAATCCTGTTAAGGCACCATGTCCCAGGTATGTCATAATTTTACTGTGGTTAACACTGAAAAGATAAGTAGAGCTATCATTACAATATATATGACACTTAAGAAATTAGTTAATACATTTGCCTCAAAAAATGGTGCTAATACTAATGTCTGAATAGATAAAGCAGGGGTGCCCAATCGGTCAATCAAGGAGTGCTTGCCAGTCGATTGATCGCAAGAATGTTTCGCAAAAATAAATGGGCTATTTGACTATTTACTTTTTTCGATAGGCTAAAAATTCATTCAGATCTGTGCATGTAATGTCATACATTTGACTGTCCTTGTTTGTCATTAACCCTTGTCGAATGGGTTGTAAGAGCCTCTTCCCTGAGTGCTGGCTGACACTGAAAAAAAGGTTACAGGAGCTACAGTACGTAAATAGTGTTGTGTGAGCTACCCAAGAACGTTCTCTTGGTTACTGCTGCATGAGCCTTACATTCGCTACAGTGCATTGCGGAGCGAAACAGACTGGTCGTGACAAAATACATTTGATCGCCTATTTGATAGTTGTAGTGTTTGAGCGAAGATGATGAAGCGAAGAAACCGAAAACTTACCGTTACCACAAGGAATGGGTGTATGATTTTTTTTTGTACTTTCTCATTCAAATCTGCAATGCTAGCGTGTATGCGAAAAAGAAAAATATAGAACAACTTTTCAAAACTGCACACAAAACGTATGATGTGGACTTTCCCACTAAAAGTGAGTTACAGAAAAGAAAACTGGAAAAATTAAAATCTCAACTAGCAGCAGTTGGTCTCCACTGTTCCTAAAATCTTCATGGCAGTGGCAAGGCAAAATCACAAGTTTCCAAACAATTAACAATTTTTGGCTTCCAACAATATCACAGAGTTATAAGACAAACAGTTATGGTACTGCTATTTTTTAAAATATTCATGTAAAAAAATACTATTAACCTCAAAACTGTTAATCTCCAGGGCTGATTAATGTGTTGTGCAAATCCACTGGCAATGTTAGTGAAGAATTTCAATAAAAGCTGGCAAAGCAGCACAAATCTGAATGAAACACAAGCAGGGTTGGAACAGAACTTAAATACATATTAAATTTGAAAATACAAACCTTTGATGCCGTATTCTGTCACTAAGCCCTTTGAATCTTGTCATGTCCGACATTCATTTCAAGGGCTGCTTAGTGTGTACAGAATAAGCTATACTGTAAGTCTCCATCATTCTTTTTTTAATAAGAAAAACACATTTTGTGCATCGTTCTTAAAAGAAGCTTAAATATATAGACTCCTGGTTTTTCAAAAAAAAATCCTGATCAGTACATTAGAAACACTTGTTGCACCCAGAAAAAAAGTTCTTACAAAGGGTAACAAATAAAAACACTAAGCTAAAATCAAATATAAAATTTCTACAGACATCTACTAAGTAATAAATAGTATGCAAAACACAATGAAAAGTGTATTGTCACAAGGAGTGAATAAGAATATTATTTCAAAATTGTTTCCCCAATTTGCCTTTTGGAATGCTGAAACTGAAAATGTTTTTTTTTCTTAAATTTGTTTAACCTTCTCTATTTTGTTTTTTTAAATGTAATAATAAAAATAATCATTTGGAAAAGGAGATTCTTAGTGTCCTTGGAAGGCAGAGAAAGAGGTCTGCACTGCATTATAAGTTGAGAGAGGCTTTGGCCACGAAGGCTAATGATATAATCTGGAGAGCTGTTGTGCACTTCTACTGTCTCAAAGGCAGGGCTGCCAGACTTTCTATCGATCATTTCTTAATTGTTTTGGTTTTTTTCAGCGGAGCAGGCAAGCACACTCTCATCAAAGAGACAGCCTTCCATCTGGAGGACTTATAAAAACCCCTAAAGCACATCCAGCTCCTTTTTTTTCCATAGCCCTGGCAGCAGTTCTGCAGCCGATAACAAGACTTGTATTATCTTTCACATTCTGCCTATATCTTTACTTCTGGCAGGTGCAATAAGAACAGGAAGCTGTGCAGCCAGTGTTCAGGGAACAGCAGACAGTTCTGAATGCCTCACTTTCATAGTTAGGGCAGCTCAGACCTCCACTACCAGTGGGGTCAATAGAGTTCTGTGGGTTCAGCACTTTATGCAGAAAATGGCCTTTCAGATATTTCTTTTATGTCCCAAATGAACAAGAGCAGGGAGGCACACAGACATGTATGAATGTCCTTGCACTGGATTCCTTTGTATACAATAAATCTCAAGAACAGTACTCTGACAGTTTGCTTCTTATTGCAAGGAGAACCTTTTCATGAATGGTTCAACCTTTCTCATCTTAAAACTTCAAAAAGAAAATAGTTTTCTAATGCATTTGACTCAAAGATGATGGATTTTCCCTCCTGAAGCTAAAATTTAAATGTAAGTATTGTTGTTAGAATTTTAATGCTCAGATTAATGTGGACCTCAGGTCAAGCTTTTAATTTGTGAGAAATCAGGTCAGTGAAGATTTTAGGCCTGTTCTCAAAAACAAAATCTGCAAAAATGAAATGCTAATTTATCTGGTACTTTGCTTATACAATAAGACATTGAAATGTTTTTAAAATGCTGAACTCTGTAACAAGACACAAGACAAATCGCTTTAACCCCACAACAGACTAATATCAGCTTTTTAAATGTCAAACGAAATGTGCATTAGACACATCAAATATGTGTCTCTTCTGCTTCCAAACTTTCAACACAGATGATGGTTTTGGAAGGAACCATCAGGGCTGAGCTTATTCACGTGTCTGAGTACAGCTTGAACTGATATTGTGAAAACTGTTCTTTGTTAAAATGGTTGAAACTGAACAACTTCACATTGTTTGAAGTCTTGGTCTGGACAGGAACACTACATGGGGAGAGGTTTCTATGAAGTTGTTTTAGACAGACTTCTAAAAAATGTAAAATAGCAGTCGTGTGATCTTGAAAGACGTTTTAAAAGATTTTTTATTAAAAGCTGCTGCAGTTATGATTTGCTAGTTGTTCATGTTTCAAAGATTGTAAAGAAGAAATAACAACTTGGCTCCCAAACCCACACCTATATTGCCTGAGCTACGTGGTAACCCAACCAAGGTGTCACTAATTTTGCAATGCAATGCATGTTCATCATATAATCTAATAAGGCTGCATAACTTGTAGTATATCACATAATATAACCCCAGATATTCCAATGTTTTCTATATGTATACCTAAAATGATGATTAACTTAAGTACAGGTAATTCATAACCTGTTTTTATATCTAAAAGAAAATACAGTTAAGTTAATATTAAAAAATGATATTTTTTTTCTGCTTGGTACAAAGTCACTGAATCACATGCCTAAGCAAAGCATTCTTCATCTGAAACTATGAACAGCTGAAGGAGTAATTAGCCAGTGGCTAGTCTACATTTTGATGACACTGTACTGTTTTTTAATCTGATGGCTCTACACTGTGCTGGGTAAACAGCGAAGGTGATGAGCCTTCAGCCCTGACTGAAGGATTAAGTATATTAAGTACTCACCCAGACCATCTTTAGTAATACAAGTAAAGATATTTTTTTGTAAACCAATATTTTCAAAAGCAAAACAATGGAACATTCACCTGCCCCCACTGTCAGAACACCCCTCTGAGTTTCCCACCAAAGAATCCCTAAATGGAAGGCAGAAAATTAAGCTAGGAAAATTAAGCTCGACAACCAAGATTTATTATTTTATTATCTTAAATATTGTCACAGGAAATTCCGCACCATTCATATCCCTCTCTCAAGCAGCAATCTCTTGGATTTGCCCTTGAATTCCTGAAGATAATGCACAGGGCGTGCAGACAATAACACCCCCCAAGGGACATGATAAGCACATATTGTAGAATGGAGACTACAAATAGTGCAGCACGCAAAGGCCATCAAAGACAGATTAAAAATATCTGCTAGAATGTGAATCTCTTTATATAAGGCGGAGAAGAGAAAGGGTATTTACCTGTAAGGAGTTAATGATGATAAATGTGAATGCCAGATTTTTGGGGATTTTGTGAATCTCTGTACCAGATGCTAAGTTGTAAATAGTGACTTAATTATGGGGTCACATTTCAATCTTAAAAATGTCCAAAGAGAAAGAATTAAATAAATCTTGAAGTCTATATCGAGTG